TAATTTTTTTTTTATTTTTAGGCAATTGGGGTTAAGTGACTTGCCCAGGGTCACACAGCTAGTAAGTGTCAAATGTTCGGTCTAAGGCTGGATTTGAACTCAGGTCCTCCTGACTTCAGCGCCAGTGCTCTATCCATTGCATCACTTAGCTGCCCCTTGACACCATATATTTGAGAACAACTGAAGTCTAGTTATGTTTTCCATAATAAGCCAATCAAAAAGTATTTAGTAAGCACCTTCTCTGTGCCAGGCACTGAGCTAAGTGCTGTGGTTACAAGTACAAAAATAACTTAAAGAAATTTAATTTTTTCAAGTACTGCCTCAGCTGGTATATTAAAATGGAAGAACAATTACTATAGACACAAGTCAAAACTTAAGGCTGACACAAGTAAATTTAGAAGAATAAAATAGTATGACTGCTCACTTTTTGTGACTTCATTAATCCTTTCGCCCAGAGTTCCTACATTTATCTGTTTGGAAGAACAAAGTAAGGAAAATTAAATGAATTTCAATGAGGTCTCTAGAAGAGATTTCAATCTAATTTGAGAAATATTTATTTGGTGCCTACTATGTGCCTACTTAGGGCAGCCAGGTGACATAGCAGACAGAGTGCCAGGCTTGAAGGCAGGAAGACTCATCTTCCTGAGTTCAAATCCAGCCTCAGACACTTACTAGCTGTGTGACTCTGGGCAAGTCACCAAACCCTGTTTGCCTCAGTTTCCTTACCTGTAAAATGAGCTGGAGAAGGAAATGGCAAGCCACTCTAGTATCTCGACCAAGAAAACCCCAAATGGGGTCAAGAAGAGCTGGACACAACGGAAAATGACTGAACATGTGCCAAGAAACTACAACAGATCAACTACCTGTTAATGAATCTGCCTTACATTATCGTGAAAATTCTTCACTGGCATTTCTTTGAATTCATTCTTCTTCACCTTTCTGCCATGAAACCTTCCAGTACTCTCTGATCCTCCCTTTGTTTTTTTTTTCCCAGGCAACTGGGGTTAAGTGACTTGCCCAGGGTCACACAGCTAGTGAGTGTTGAGTGTTTGGTCTGAAGCTGGGATTTGAACTCAGGTCCTCCCGATTTCAGAGCCAATGCTCTACCCACTTCACCTAGCTGCCCCACCTCCCTTTGTTTTCACGAGGTAGAAAATAAAACGGATGGTGTCAGTTTCCTTTCATCCTTCCTGAAACTGTCAGCAATGGTATCAATCTTAGATTTGATTTTATGATGGCACAGTGGTCCCCCAGCAGATTTTAAATGGGATCTAGGTGGAAGCATTCCCACTCCCAGTCGGCCTGAAAGGATCAAGTCATTTTTAACACAGTCAGTAAACAACTGTCAGAAAGCAATAACTTTTCGGTCCCTGTAAACCTAGACCATATGAAATCTGGTGACCCAGATCTGAAAAACTCCATGATTTCCCCAAAGACATCTAACTGGCAGAAAAAGTTATTTACTGCATTAGATATTGGAATGATATAATTAATCATTTCAGCTTGAATTGGGAAAAGTAAAAAAAGTTCCTAGAAGTCCACTCGTTGAAGTTTATTATTGTTGCTATGAAACAGACCTTTTCTGAAGGACAAAAAATGAAAAAAAAAATCAGTCTCGTGTACTTCCTAAGCAATGGATGGATTACTGACAATGGATGATATCACCAATAGCCAATTATGAAGCTCAGCATTCCAGAACTCTTTAATAATTTGTTTTGAAGAAATGCTACTTCCAAAAACTTTCAAAAATAACCTGAATATTATTTAGTTGGCTATGTAATGAAAGGGGGGGCAGAATGTACAAACATTTTTTATGGAAATGTCTATGTACAGAAGAATTTAAGATCATACAAAAACACACAAACCAGTATAACCCAAACAAAAAGACCATATAGGCCATCCCCAACTTACAAATGGGTTGTATTCCAAAAGTTTGTTCCTAAGTAGGCTGTTTAGATCTTGGAACAAAACTTCCCATGGAAACAATGTCATAAATGGTGGTTAGGCTTCCAGATCAAACCACAAAACCTGGACTGAACCCTTCAAGCGTATCCTGAGTTGAACAGACCTTCACAGGTTGGCTTGGTAACTCAGCTCATTTTTACACTGGAAAAGTGTGTTCTTCAGTATGCTCTCAGGACTAAGGCAGCACTATGAATGCATTTCCACCCTATCTCATGCTACAGAGGTAAGAATCCTGTGCTTTAGCTTTGAGGATGGGGGTGAATAGCTCAGAGTATCTATCCATACATGTTCCACAAAATAGGTGTTTACAAATTGAGTTTACAAATTCAGCAGGCATTTACAAATTGAATTTCTAAATTCTTATCAAAAAAGTTACGAAAGGAGATGACACAGCTTACCATTTAACACAGCATTACCAATTAACCTTGGAGAAGAGATAATAGCTTTATTCTGGGAAGCTGCAATGCGGGGGAACTAGTTGATGATGACCCAGTCCTTTGAGCCAGATTTGCCTGTCCTGGTACACCATATAGAACATGCTTAGATATTGCCTGCGTGTGACTGAGGGGCTGGTCATGGCTGGTGACCCAGAGTCTTTTGGCTGAGGAATCAGAAAGACTGATGACTGATAAACTGCTAAGCTAGAACTGAGTATGCAAACAGAAGGAATGACCCGCCACACAGCTCACCTTGATTCTCTTCCTTCTTGGCTGCCACTGATACAGAACTGCTTTGAGCTGTTTGGGGTTGGGGGCACAGGTAAGAGCAGCTGCCCTTGTTCTGGGTGGCCTCAGTGCCATCAGAGGTCCCGTTGGCAGCTGGGGTCAGTAGCAGAATCTGCCGGAGTGGTAGTGACCAACAGCAGAGGAGATACTTATAGGTGGAGGTGGAGAGGCAGTCTGTATAAAAGCAGCTTCAGGAATTTTGACTCCCTCATAATAGAGAGAAATACTGGCTATTGATTCTAGAAAGACACCCATCCACTGAGCCCGGAAGGAAACTACACCTAAGGATGACCTTTGAGAATTCCATGAAGGGAGAAAAGGTCTTCTGGAGCCAGGAATCAGAAAGTACCCCTTGGTCACACATGTCTTAAATACGTATACCCACTCTCCTCAGGAACCTTGTGTTGTCTGCAAGGGGAGAGTGTGTCCTGGTATGGTGGGGGGAACAGGGGGAATTGTTTTTGTTAAGTATTGCTCTTGCTATACTTTCTTAGCAAATACTTTTTTTTCTTTTTTAAAAAAATTATTTATTTTTAGTTTTCAACACTTGCTTCCACAAGATTTTGAGTTCCAAATTTTCACTCCGCTTGCCCCTCCCCCCACTCCAAGATGGCATGCATTCTGAATATCCCTTCCCCTAGTCTGCCCTCCCTTCTATCTCTCCCCCTCCTTCTCTTATCCCCTTCCCCTTCTACTTTCCTGTAGGGCAGGATAGACTTCTGTACCCCATTTCCTATATTTCTTAGCAAATAGCTTTTCTAAAAGCTAATAAAAATGAGTTCTACTAGTTGATTGATAATGGGTAATAACACTGGACAGGGGCTTGCAAGACACAGAACTAGAAACCCAAAGTCCTTAGGGTTTTCTCAAATTACTCCCTAAGAGAAGTAGTACTCAAGTGCCCTCTGGGGATCTAAGAGCTAGTTTGAATGGGAGTTGAGAGTGTAAGCCCAGAGACGATGCTACATAGATATTTCAATTTTAAACTTATCAACAATTTACAGGAAACTACTAAGACCAGAAAGCTAAAGTAGGGAATAATTAGGTGATTTTCCCCAAGTAGAATGTAAACTCTCTGACAGCAGGGATGATGATGATGATGATGATGATGATGATGATGATGATGATGATTGTTATTATGAATGGGAAGATGCCTAAGACAATGCCTTGCCCATAGTAGAGTTGTTGAAATTGAGTCAAACTCCTATATCGGGACTATATAATGTTTCCACATTTAGTGGAATATGCTTCCAAATATCTGGTGACTTTCATAGTCATAAGCATACTGAAAATACTTTAGAATAATGGTAAAATACTTTTTGTTGACAAAGGATTTTTTTTGGAAAGAACACATCTAATACATACCCAATAGAGTATTGAGTAATTGATAGGGTTTGTGCCTACATTTTTACTTATTAAAAATCAACTCCAAAATGCTATATTTTGTAGAGCACAAAAAAAAGGCCTGTGACTTAATGAATAAATGAAAAACAAACCCCACAATCTTTAAGTATTTAACTATATGCCAAGCACTGTGTCCGTAATAATTTTTCTCTGTTGAATTCAGAAGAAATGTTAGTGACACATACGTGATTTCTAATGATTTCTATGCTAAATAGAACCACTACATACAATCACAGTAGGGCACTGATGTTAGCTTCTTCAAAAGCAAAATGCTATATATTTATAATGGGTTCCCCCCTCCAGACATTATTATAAGCTCAGATGATAAGACAGATTAATTTTAAAGCAATACCCAAAAAACAAAAAGCATTTTTTAAAAAAGGGGAGATAATAATTCATAAGACATTAAATCTTAATTAACTTTACACTAATACCAGATTAGCCCCCTTCAGGCAATTCACCTAACTACTTTTCCTCTTCCTCCCTCTTCTCTCATCTACATCTATCCACTGAAAATCCTTTCATCCTTCAAGAATCAGCTCAAATGTTGCCTCTTCCATAGGGGCTTCCCTGATCCCTTTGGTGAAAATGATCTTACTATATCCTATTTTGTATTAAAGTCAGTTGCAAATCTTGACTACCTACTATGTATAAGTTTCCATGAAGGCAAAGGACTTTTTCTTATTTATCTCTTATTTTAATTAATTAATTAATTATATTATATTATAGTTACTATTATCTCCCGCAAGGCCTGACAAAGTGTTCTAGGCCAGTAGATACCTAATAAATGTTTACTAACCAGAATTTGGTTGATATTTTTTGTCTCTTCTTGGAAATAAATCTAAAGATAAAGAGAGTGCCAGTAATTATGGAGAGAAGTCTAGCGCTTTCAAGGTATATTCTAACCTTCCTCTGGTGGTCCTCTGTAAAATCTTCATTCCTCCCAGGCTGCAGAATTTTCCTTCCCACTGTCTGTTGTGCTGAGAGATATCTTCTGGAGGAGAACAGAGGGATTCCAAATGTACTTCACTGAATATCCCATAAGCATCCTGGACAAGAAGGCAGCATCTACGAAACAGAATTCCCATTTTCTATTTTAGTCCAAAATTTTGAGATTTAATAATCTCAAGTGTTTACTTCTGGTTCATTATAAATACAGGTATTCTAGGTAGACAAGTCAAAGTCTACGGCTCAATCAATTAACTTATACTTTGGGTTCTGATTTCGGGTTTCATTCATTAAACACAAAATTAAACAGGAGCTGTTATGCTATTTTAGGATAAAACTATCCCCCCCAAAGTGGTTTGAAAGAAAGGAAAAGAAAAAGGGAATATATCTTTGGTACCCAGACCCAATGTCATAGCTGCTAGTCCATCCATGATGGCTATATGACAAAAAAATTTATATTTTGTGCTATTCTTGGGCAACAGAGAAAAGCTTCATTGCAATGCACAATGAGAGGACGAATTAGGCTCTTCTCTCAGGAGTTAAATTTTAGCATACGTTTATAATAACAATGATAATAGCTGACATTCATAAACTGCTTTATAGTTTGCAAAGCACTGTAATAGTATCTTATCTGATCTTTACAACGATGCTGTGAATTAAGTATTACGGACATATTCATACTCTTTTTACACATGAGTTAACTGAGGCTCAGAAAGTTCAAGTGAATTGCCTATGAGCTCACTATCTGAGATCTGAACACAGGTCTCTCCTGTACTCGTATATAAGACACCATGCTTCCTCTAACATGTCACATTTCTTCACATTGAACATTTGGCAAGGGGAGCCAGGACACTAGCTGGCAGCACATGAACAAAATAATAATAATAACTACAACAATAGCTAACATTTATATAGCATACACTATGTGCTGGGCATGGTGCTAAGAACTTTACAAAAATTATTACAAATCATAATAGATAGGAGATGATGGTATGAGTGGTTGTCTCCCAAGTGCCTTGATATTTGTAATCACGAAGATAAGTGTTTGATAACTTCTTGATTATTGTCCAGGGAGGCAGACAATGAGGAAAGCTATGCCCACTGAAGGTATATATGATAAATTTCAAGAATCCCATCTTTGAGAAATCATTTATGACAATTCAAAGTCCCTTAGGTTCATAATTCAGTAAGGTAAATTTGTGCAATCAAGGATTGTATGCAACATGAAAGCATTTACAGTTTCCCACAGATATAGGGCAAAACATTAGGCTCTATGTTACAAATATATTTGGAAATTATAAAAAAAAAATTTTTAAGTGTGCCAGAAAGCACAGATTGAAAAGCAACATTAAAAATCTTTGTGATATACAGTTACCATGACTAATAGTAAGAGATATGTAAATTAAAACAGATCTGAAGTTTTACCTCACTGCATATGAATTGACAAAGATGACCAAAAAATGAGATTTGTCAATATTGGAGGGACTAGATATCAACTTTGAATTAGGCAAGAAAAGTGATGAAATTGTTTGTATCCTTTAACCCAGATATTCACTACTGGGCTTTATGCCTCAAGGTGATCAAGGACAGAAACAAAGGTCAAATATATACCAAAATATCCATAGCAGCATTCTTTGTGGTAGCAAAGAACTGGAAACAAAGTGAGTGTCCCTTGACTGCGGGATGACTGAAGAATTATGGTAAAAAATATAATGGAATCTTACTATGCAGTAAGAACTAAAAAATATGAAGAATTCTAGGAAAAGGGAAGATTTGGATGAACTGATGCAAAGTAGAACAAGCAGAACCAAGAAAATGATTTACACAAAGAAAGACCACAACAATTTAAATGGAGAGATGACTAAAAGGAAGCTAAACTCCAAGGAACAGAAAAATCAATGAAGGTCCTGGAGAATAGATAATGAAACATACCTCTCTGCTCAAAGCAGAAGCCAAGAACTACCAGATATACTCACTGTTGAGAGAATTTCTGCTCAAGCGTTTTTCTTTGTTACAAAAGAAGGTTCAATCTAGAATTGGGAAAGGTTATCCCCTCCCCCACATCATAACTGTGATATAAAGAAAAGAGATTGTGATATAAGAGAAAAGAGATAAAATAAAATAAAATGATTCAATCATCATATTGTTATGCTCTGGCTTTGGGGTTGTAGTAATTCATCAAGTAATATTATTCCTTAAGCAAACACTATAAAATTCTAGATATCATGGATAAGAACAAAAGAAACAGAAAGTAGAATATTATATATGCCAAATGCTGGGCTAGGGTAAAAAGAAAAAAATCAAAGTCTCAGTTAGTCTCAGCCCTCAAAGGATTTACTTTCTAATGGGGTTGACAATGTAAACATACACATGTAAGTGTATGTATAACATATAGGAAATGAATGCAAGACAGTTTGGGGAGAGAGTGAACCTAGAAGCTGTGAGGATCTGCAATGGGTGATAAATCATGATGAGAGTGAACTTCAAAGGAGTGGTTGCTGAATCATGGCTAAAGAGGAAGAATCTGGAAATGCCCATGGGGAACAAGGAGTATTTTCATTCTCTCTTAAGGACCAGTGAGTCAGGAGCCATGAAAGAACGTGCAAAAAGTGATGGAAAGGACAGTCAAGGGATGCAGAGTCATTGGACGGGGAAGTATGAGTCTCAGCAAGAGCCCGAAGATGGAAGGAATATATGAGAGTAAGAGATGTGAAATTAAGGGAAATTTGTTAATTTTAGAATGGGAGTTCCCAGAGGACACAGTGGAGAGAACACTGGATTTGGAGTCAGAAGGCTCCACTACTAGTTAGTACCCATGTGACTTTAGGTAATTCAAGTCATTTCAACACATTTGTTAAGCATATAAATCAGTTAGCCAGTCAAAAAACATTTTTCAAGTGCCTACTATGTGTCAGACACTGAGCTAAGCACTGAGAATACAATAAGAAGCAAAAGACGGTCCCTTCCCTTGAGGGGAATCTAATGGAGGAGATAACAAACAGATGTGTGCAAACAAGTTATATACAGGATAAATAGAAAATTATTTTTTAAAAAGGGAAGGCTCTAGGGTTACGTAGACTTCCTATAGAAGATAGGATTTTAATTGGGAAGTCAGTAGGTGAAGATGAGAGGGAAGAACATTCCAGGCATGGGTGACAACACAATCCTTGCACAAGCTTGCATTCTACTAGTATCAGTATAACTATTTACTTTTTATTTATATTCTATTTGCTCTCTCCTATAGAATATAACCTCTTGGAGGGCAGGAACTATTTCATTTTTGTTTGTTTTTTAGGCAATTCAGGTTAAGTGACTTGTCCAGGGTCATACAGATAGTAAGTGTCAGTGTTTTGGTCTGAGGTCAGATTTGAACTCAGGTCCTCCTGACTTCGGGGCTAGTGCTGTATTCACTGCGCCACCTAGCTGCCCCCTATTTCATCTTTGTCATTGTATCTCCAGAGACTCTCATAATGCCAGGTGCATACTAAGTGCTTAATAAATGCCTGTTGGTACAACCTCTCTGAAATTCAGTTTCCTCTACTATAAAGGGATTAAATTAGATTAGGGGTGCTTAACCTTGGGATCTGTGAACTTAAAAAATTGTGTGTGTGTGTGTGTTTTAAATAACATTTCAATAGGATTGGTTACCTCTGTAATCCTTGGTATTTTGTTTTATGGATTATTTCTAGAGGAGTTCCATAGGTTTCATCAGATTGCCAAACAGGTCCACTGACACAAAAAAGATTAAGAACCTTTATAGATTAGATGATCTGTAATGTTCCTTTTACCTCTAAATCCTATTATCCTATAATGTCTCTTGGGAAAGATGATTGAGTCTCTTCATTAAACGAACTAATTCCTGTGTTATCTCAATATCTTTTAGTATTTCTCCACTGAAGTCCTACTTGGATGCTTTGTTCTGGCTGGAGGAGACCCTGAGTTCTTGGAGCATAAATATCACAGGTAATCCTAACTGGCATGGCTTCAACAACATCCCAGTAACAGATTGCAAATGTCTGCTGCCAAAGGATCAGTCTCATTTAGGGCTGAGAGGTTTGTCACCAAAATACCGACTAAAAGGACAAAGCAACTCAAGAAGCTAAGAAGGGTGGGAACACTGATCAGCACTGGTAGAAGCAATGCTTTGGGAAAATATGAGACAAAAACTTTTATAGAGGAGAATATCGGTTCCTTGATGGTAGGAGCTGTTTTTTCATTTTTTTTCCTTTGTATTCTCAATGCTTGCAATCTATGTGTTAGACACTATGGTATTCATTAAGGATTCAAAAAGAAAAAATGAAATAGTCCCTGGCTCAAAGAACTTGCATGCTATTAGGGAAAAGTGCATATACACATGTAATTGAACACCAAATATATGAAAAAAAATATAGGATAATTAGAAGGGGAAACACTAGTAGCTGGGAGGGATCAGAAAAGCCTTTCTGTAGAATGTAATCCTTGAAGGGAGGCAAGTGATTCTAAAAGGCAGGGGTGAATGGATTCATTTCAGGAACACAGTAGGCCCTTAGTGAATAATTTATATCAACATATACCATAGTTGCAGAATCAAACTGACTCAGTCCATAAGAGCTAGGCCACAGGCTGAAATGTTCAGTCTTTGGGGCCCTGTTTCCCCTTATTTGTCTTTGGATTCCAAGTGTTCGTTGCTTAGTGATTTTTCAGTTTTGTCCAACTCTCTGTAACCCCATTTGGGGTTTTCTGGGCAAAGATGCTGGAGTGGTTTGCCATTTCTTTCTCCAGCTCATTTTATTGATGAGGAAACTGAGGCAAACAGGGTTAAGTGACTTGTTCAGGGTCACACAGCTAGTAAGATCTGAGGTTGGATTTGAACTCAGAGATCTCCTGACTCCAAGCCCAGCACTCTATCCACTAGGCCATTTGGTTGCCCACTCCAAGGATTAGGCTAACCATGTGAGCATAGAGAATCCTTACACTGATGAGATCTCAGATCTTTTACACCTTAGGCAAAACACTTAACCTCTCAGAGGTCCAGTTTCTGAATAGGTAAAAGAAGGGCAGCTAGGTGGCCCTAGTGGATAGATCGCTGGGCCTGGAGTCAGGAGGACTCCTCTTCCTGAATTCAAATCCAGCCTCAGACA